TTTCAATTCAGACAATAATTTGATATAAGATTCGTCAGAAAATTGCAAAAATTGCATGCATGTGAAAAAATTACAAACAATTTGTTTCATACTGCATAAAATATCAATTGCATTATAACATAGAACAAAAAAAATAATAATAATAAAAAATAAATAAATCAAACCCTAGTTAACATCTTGTCGGCTTTACAAACCGGGTTTTCCTTCCTAATAATCTCCCTGCCGGCTTTCTTAAAATCGAACCGGCATGGATGATCTTCAGGGTACCTATGCGCCTTACAGTGCGTCACACCACACCTACACACAAACCCTACAAATCCCACCCTTTTGTTACAAACTCCACATCTCTGTTTCTCCACAAAAACCGACGACTCATTAGTATTTGGTATCTCGGTTTTGGCAAAATCGGCCGGTTTATCTAAATCATCTCGAATATTAATGGCCGCCATCAATTTACTGAGGTGTGCTACGTAGCACTTGGAGCACAGGCCTTTGTTGTCCGCCGTACCGTAAAATCCGCAGCCGCCGGAGCACAGGCGGGGGGCTTCTGCCGGAGATGTACCAGCCGCCGCATGATCTTTGGAGTTAGAATTCGTCATTTTGTTTTTTTTTTAGAATATAATTTGCTTTGTTTTACGCCCGTGAGTTCGCATATTTATAAGGGGAAGAATATGTGGTTTTTCCAATCCGAATCGCACAAGGAAATTATGGAAAGATCATATGATGATATTCTAGAACTTTCTTGCTTTTTATTTATGTCTTGTTCTTTTGGCAATTTGCTTTTCTTTCGGTATTCCTTCTCGAATAATACACGTCAAATATTTACGTGTATGTCATCTCCGAATAATATGTAGAAAGTTCTTATAAAATATGTGGAATTAAGGTAATATTGAATTTCTAGAATTTTCTTATAAAATATCACATTCCCTTTATTATATACTAGTATGTAACTCGTGTGATGCACATGCTGTATTTACTTTGGAAAATATTAAAATTAAAATGTATTAATAAATAAAAGAGTGATAATTCGTAGGAAAATTATCAAACCATAAACTGTTCCTCATGCAAAAAGATATATTATTTAAACTTTATTGTACACAACATTATTTGTTCAATAACTGAGCAACTCGTCGTCCCCACAAACTAATATTTTCAACACTTTTCTATTACTTACACGTGAAACAAACAACATAATTGTCTGTGACTAAAAATCAATTTCTTTAAGAACATGCCAACGTACAATAAATGTTGGCATTGACTCTTCTTGATCTATTACTTAACATGCCAACGTACAATAAATGTTGACATTGACTCTTCTTGACCTATTATTTACACGCGTAACAACATACAATTGATCGTGATCAAAAAAAGATTTTTTTTAAGAACGTGTCAATGCACATCTCTTATCTATTACTTACACGTAAAAACAAAAACATATAATCGGTCGTTGCTAAGAACCGATTTCTTTAATAATATGCCAACGCACATAAAGACTGAACCTGATCTTAAATGAAACCCTAAGATTAGAAGTAACTGGTGCTCTAGAACTTAAATGAAATCCTAAGATGGATCGTTTTATAATATGATAATTTACTTAGGCGGTCAGGCAATGAGCTGCTATTTTAATGTCTATTATACTTGATTAGCTATATAATATTCACTAATATTTCTATATTTTTTATACAAAAAGACTGACCATGACTGTTAAATGGAATCCCAAAATCATAAGGAACTGGTGCCGCTGGAACTTAAATGAAAGTCTAAAATTGATCTATTTATAATATGATAATTTATACAACAATTGGACAAATGAATTGGTGTATATTTACAAAAATATGTAGAAATAATACAAAACATTAAATATTACATCACGCTAATTTTATGAGAAAGATTATATATAGTAGATATAAAATATAAAACATTAGTGGTTAGACATTACTTCAGGCTAATTTTTTCAAGCCGAACAATTTTTAATTGAATGTGTGACAACTTGTTATATATATATATATATATATATATATATATATATATTTGGCCAGAACGATAGAGGATCTATTAAAAACCAAGGGCTCAAAAGAGCGAATCAAAATACAAAGCTCCCAACGGGAGAATAAAAAGCAACCAAAAGCTGAATAAAATGGGAGGACAGGTCTGAAGACCGCCTAGAATCCCGACGCTAGCAACGCTAGAAACTAAAACAAGGCTTACTAGACAACTAAGAAAACAAAACACAAAGAAAAACTACTAAGCTCCCAACAGGAGAATAGAGACGGGAGCTGCTCCCAACAGGAGAATTAAGGTGCTCCCGCTCAGACTTACAAAGGCCAACGGCCCACACCAAAAACACAGATCCTAACCAAAACAGGCACAACCACAGAAAACAACTAAAACACGGAACAAAACAAAACTAAACCAATTAAAAAGGCCCTTCCTCAGTAGAAATATCGAGTTCAACCAGCAGGTGAGCAATCTATATCAGGGAGAGATCCAAAGGCCTACTACCCACAACCTACACTGCCTAAACGCCTATCTGAAGCAGATACCAGACCAGAACCAAACACCAATAAAGATCCGTCCCCGGCCGGGAAGAATCGCCACTCATCTACCGGCTATCACCACTA